CATTCTCAACTCCTTCAACAGCCTCCACGTGATGGAAACACAAACAAGGGCAGCCGTGACTGACAGGTGAGGGCAGCCTGGCCTCCCCAGGTACTTCCTCTCCAGATGCAGGTTCCCTCCAGCCAGCACGCCCTCACCTGTCTGCTCCAGGGTCCCAAACCCCGGCCTATAACTGGGCTGAAGACTCCAGCAGCCCCAGGGGTTCTTCCCTTGGGCACTGAACAACTCACTACTGACCACCTTTCCTATCACATTCCCGGGAAAGCTCTGAAAGAAACAGAAGCCATCGTCTCTGCCCTCTAAGAACCTGTCTCCTGGGGCAGGGTGGGAGCGAGCTACCCAATCCACAGAAGAGGCTGAGACGGCAGCAGTTCATCTGGGCGTGCTGACTTACCATTATGACGTCAGTATAACGCGGAAAAGAAAACAGAAGTTTCGGCCGCCCTTTCATTTCTACTGTTCTTTTCCTTATTTAGAAAAATAAAAGTTCACTGAACGTTCCCTTGTCTGCAAACCACCAGGTACAGCAGAGTCTGGCTCAATGGAGATGTCTTAAATGCATTCAGGAGCAGGACTTGCGTTCAAGACACCGCCTTGGCAAAAGGAAATCCTACTGCCTAATACTGGGGTGATGAGACCCCAGAGCCAACAAGAGAAGCTGCACATTTGCCCCTGCAGATGTGGCCGGAAGCATGCACACAGCGGTGGCAGCTGTCAGCACGGTCCCAAGCCAGCAGCCTGGGTCTGAACGAGCTCCACTGCCTACCAGCTGTGGGGACTTGGAAAGTCCCCTCACCTTCCTGAGCCTCAGTTTCCTCTTTCTCTGTAAAAGGGAGATAACAAAACCATCAATTCCCAGGAGGTCTGGCTCCTAGCTTCTTCCTAAGCCCCATGGTCTGACTCAGCAGGGGCTCCTGAGGGAGTGGGGAGTGGGTAAGTGCCCAGGGGCAGGCATGGGCAGCTGGGGGAAGCCGTGGGGAACTGGAGGAGGAAGGTGGGTCTTCCCGCTCCACACGCGGCACCCAGCCCTGATTCTCCCCTCCTGGGAAAGCTACCCCTGCACTGGCCACGGACAGAAGAGGAGCAAGGGGATCAGAGATGAGGTGCTTGAGTAATCTTCACCATACAATCATGCACGAAAAGTGGGTAACGATAAAAGCAGCTCCTCATTCAGGATAAATTACTTCTCTACGAGGAAGTAGTTAGATTTAGGTACCAGGGAAAACCAACCTGGTTGTCAGGTTCCAGTGTCAAGGAGAAACCACATGAAACCCCACCTCTCCACAGGGGCCTCGGGACCTGTGTGTGTGTGTGTGTGTCTGTGTGTGTGTGTGTGTGTGTGTGTGTGTGTGTGTGTGTCTGGGGGGTCTGTGCTGGGGGGTTTGTTTTTGGTTTGGGTTTATTGTTTTGGAATTTGGCTTAGGGTGGGGAACTGAAATAGTGGTATGCAATCATATAGTAATTCTGAATTATTAAATCTTAAATACATTAAAAATCATGCTTTGTTTAACTTGGGAGAGAGAAGCTAACTTATTTCATTTTCTCTAAATATTCTGAATAATGAAAGTTCTAGGTAGTAAACCCATTCCATGAAAATGAGCTTATTTAAAAAATAAGCTGAAATTTGGGTGGCCTCCAATAAAAACGGTAAGGTAAGGTAGTGAAAACCCTTCTTCTCTGACCCCACGTCTAGCATGCAGTGAGACGAAGCAGGCCTCTGGACTGGGTGCAGCTCCGTGATGTGAACGTGGTGGCCCCCGGGGCCAGCTCCACGATTAATCTTTTAAATGTGAACAGATAGAAACACTGGCATATGAGTAACCAGGCATAAACAATTCCTTTGCTGAGTCACAGAGCCTGATTTTTCAGGGATAAGAAATTCCTCTTGACCGTGGCCTTTGGAGGAGCAGACATGTCACACTGATGTCTCACAACTCTGATGGGAATCAGCAGGAACCTCGCTCTCATCAGGTAACACTCCAATCAGCTTCTCTGAAGAAGTTTTGCAACTATAAATAACCCAATTTCCTGTGCTCAGCCTAAGTGGCGGTTGAGACTGCAGGGTTTTTAAAATTTTGCTAAGGCTTCCGCTATGTGATATTAGTTCAGGCTGAACAGAAACTAGCTCTTAAAGAAAAAGGGAAATTTAGTCTCCATCTTTGCCCCAGGAAGACACTCTTACTACTACTAGAAAATATCCACCCCGCTGTTTATGTAGTTTAACTGCTTGGGGAAATAACAGTTAAAACAAACCGTGGGGTCTCAGTGCTGAGTGGCAGAAGGCCAGCAGCCTTTCCGGGTGCCACACCCTATATCCATCAGTCCCCCGCCACACACACACACAGACTGTCCAAGACCTGGGGGTCTGGTCCCGGTCCTGTAGTGAGAGGAACTGGGTAGACTAGGTGTCCACACTCTATCCAGATGGTCCCTCCTCAGTACTGGACTGTCCTGGCAAATGCCAAGAGCTCACAACATGTGGAAAGAGACCAGAGGTGACACAACCTTACAAACAAGCAGAAGTTACGAAAGTGAAGCCAGTTTCCACACAGTCTCAGCGGGTCCTCTCCTGCAGCCCCAGGGCAGCAAGGACTTCTGCGGAAGCCCAGACTGCCTGCCTCTGCCGGTGAGGTGGGGCGTGCTACACCTACCCAGCGGTCCCTGTCACACCTAGGTGGCCCTAGCTCCTCCTTCCACTGGAGAACTGTTTCCAGTTCCCAGGAGCCAGAGACAGAGAATGCAGAAAACAAACGGCACAAGGCAGTCTGACAGGCTCACTGCTAGTCTCCAACTGCACACCCGACTGTGGCCTAGGGCAGCCCTGGGTGACGCCCCTTATGCCATCTCCTTCGGCCACTTCCTTACAACCAGACTACTGACCTCATAAACAGGGACCATGTTTTATTTTGTCCTCTGTGTCCCTTTTTAATAGTATTTTTTTTTGCCATTATTTACTTAACAAACAAAACCAAAAGAAAAACAAAATAAAACAAAAAACACCTTCCACAGGAGGTTCGCTGTTTCTTACTGGAAATCACCAGGGCCACTAGGTCCCAGAATCTGGCAGTCTGGGTTTTTAAAGGATACCGGGACACCTACAGCATACATTCTGTAACAGTCTAGACAAGCAGCCCTTAATCAATACACGAACAAGGCTGCAGAGAAATGTATGGACATTCACACTGGAGAGATTTAAAAACAAAAAAAGGACTAAAAATAGCTTCCCCTGGGTTAGGGCAGGCCTCACTGCCAAATGAATTCTACCATAGACTCTCTCTCTCTCTCTCTCTCTCTCTCTCACACACACACACACACACACACTTCTTTCCATTTTCTGAGGTTACTCAATTCCGGGTTGGGGGTGGGGGATGGTGGGCCTGGTACCGATGAGCACCCACTGAATGGGACCCAGCTCCAGGCTTCCCTGCAGGTCCAGCAGCGTCTGGCCCAGGCCCCCTGGGGCTCCCTGTGTTCGGCAGACTCCCACCCAGTGTCTAGGAGTGCGTGCGGCAGGTGGGTTCACTGGACACTCCTCCAGCACTCCCTGCTCTCCTCACACCCTGTCCCACGTTCACTCTTCCTTCTCCAAGACTGGAACAGTTGGCTCTTGGTGCAAGGATCATGCCCAGGGTTAACGTCCACCCAGTCTTGCCTTCTATGGTCTGCCTGGGTTGTTTCTCTGAACACCAGCAGCTCAGGGCATTGCTGTCCCTCCTTCTTTCAAGTCTCTTCCCTGATGGGGATTCCAGGGTCTCCCTGCAGGTTCCCAGGGCCCTAGAAACTCATTAGGAACCTGGTTCCTGGGTTGAAGTGGAAGAACCAGATCCAATAGTCTGGCCTACTGCCTAAACTTTAATCAAGCTCATAGAAGCACTTTAAATGGACACTTAAAAATCCAAAACACAAAAACCATAAGCACACGTGACAGTCCTCAGCAAGAACTTAATTTTTGAGTGTGCCTTCATCAGAATCTGTGCCTGTACCTCTCCAGCACTTCCTGGTAAGTAGTGGTCTTCCAAGGAGAGCAGCAGTCTACTTCATCCGGAATCTCCATGAACACCTACTGGATGACTAATTCCTACCTGGGAAAGAGCGGCTGTGGTGGGCTCACATTTTTATCAAGGTTCCACAAAAACCCGATGAAGTGGAAATCTAGGGTCTCTCTGTAGTAATAACTCCATGGAGTATTTCTTTTCCAAAGTATTTTCCCACTCCTTTGCTTTTAAATATTTCTATTCACAATCAACCATAAGCTGCACAAAAATGGGTGATCACAAATTTTCCCCACCTTGCACCTTGCCCAATTTTAAGGCCCAATGACCCTGACATCCTCTAGGGAGTGTGGTGTTGGGTAAGGGATTGCCACGTGGAGGATCCTGCCCAGACCTGGAAGACCCCGAAGACCCCAGGAGACCAGCTTAGATGGGCTTGGGGCCTGGGAACCTCTAAGGAGGTGGTCCTAGGTCAGGAGCCCGGGAAATGCTCCACACCATTCCAGCCACTAGTGGTGTCCGCCCATGGTTGAGCGCGGCAGCCGGGAACACCAGCTCCCAGGTGTGGCATTTTGTGAAATACCAAGGTGGCAGCTCTGTGGAACTCTAGACCCGCGCGGTCCTCAGACCTCGGCTGGGTCCTAGCCAGAGCCAACCCGAGTGGGAAGAACCTGTCAACAGGCATCACCACCCGCAGAGACCACGTTCCTTTTCGTCCTTGGAAGGGGCGCCAGCAGTCAGAGGTGCTTTCCAGCGAGTAACCGGCGGCACGGGACACTCGGCCAACTTACTGGTGGTCAGGGAGCAAAGCCTGCTCTTTCCGGGCATCCGTGCCGGGACACGCGAGGAGGATCCCGGCCTGGCGGAGCCCACTCCGCCCCTCCCTGGGCACCGACGGCTGCGGCGGAGAGCGCGGGCTGCCCTTGACCTTCGAGCAGTCAAGCGCCAACCCGACGGGGACCGCTCGCAGTCCGGAAACAAAGCCTGGGAAACGCGCCTTCCTCTTACCAGTCTTTGAGCTTCTGGACTCAGACAGTCTATTTCCTTGTTCTGCGACCCCGCAGGGCTGGCCATGATGCCGGAGTGCGGAGCGGACCCAACTTCCCACCCCAGGAGGACTCTCCGCGACCGGCTCCGGTGTTCGCTGGGGGCGAGCTCTCAACGCTGCCGCATCCCCGGCGCTGCGGTCCGCGCCGGCCGGGAACTCGCCGCAGAACCGCGGGCGCCTGGCCGCCGGACGAGCCCCGGAGCCCACACGCGCGGCTCAGCGGATCCCCAGCTCGGGCGCGGCCCGCGGGGCGGGGCGCAGGTGGCCGCAGGCCTCCGGGGGCGGGGAGAGCGCGTAGAGAGGGGCCCCGGGCCGCCTGCACCCCGCCCCCGGGGTCCCGCCCGGCCCCTCGCCCCGCCCCCGGGGCCCGTCCCGCCCCGCGCGCCCCGCCCGCCCTGCCCGAGGCTCTGCTCTCGCCGGCCTCCCGCCCAGTGCGCGCCCCGCCCGCGCTCCAGCTGCGCCGCCATCAATCACCACCCAGTCCCCCCGGCTCACACCCGAAAGGCGGTGCGGAGAGAGACCCAGTGGGCCTCGCCCGACGCCCCGCCCTGGCCGCCCGCTGGTCCTGGCTGAGTCAGCGGGGCCAGCCCAGGAAAGCGGGTGTCTGGGGGAGGACGGGCGCGGGGCGGGGCCGTCCGGGGCGGGGCTGCAGGGGGCGGGGCTGCAGGGGCGGGGCGAAGTTGAACTCCCGGACGCGCCAGCTCTGCCCGAGTTCCGCAGCACCTGCCCGCGCGGTACCCTGCTAGAGCGTCGCCGCCAGGAGGGTTGGTTTCAGGGGTCGGCCGAGGGGCAAGAACGAGCAACGGGAGTGCGAGACGTCCGGCGGACTCGGTGGCCCAGGGCCCGGGCTTTGCGCGGTCCAGGCTTCGGTGGGGAAGACCGTGCCAGGCTCCGCCCGGCGTCGTACGTAGAAGGGCTGCCCCTCGCACCGTGACCCGACTTCCAGAATGTGCCCCCCTGAGCCGGCGGCCCTCCTACTCTAAAAAGGTTCTGCAGGCAAAGCGAGGTGATGGTCCCGAACTGGACAGAAACGACCACGGCAAGGAAGAGGCGCGGATTTCAATTAGGAAGTCAGCCGTCCCGGCCACGCTCGAGGCCTGAGCGCCTGAAATGTCCCCGCGCCCTCTACGCCTGTTCTGCGGGGCCCTCTCCAGATCAAGTCCTAGGGACACGTTTTCTCAGACCCTTCTCAGAAAGGTCGTGTCGCGGCTCGGAGCGGGAGACTCAGCAGAATCACCTGGCCTGCTTCTCTGCCCAGGCGGCTCCAGAAAGAGGGAGGAGAGACCAGATTCACTTTTAAGCTTTTAAAAGCCCCAGTTTTCTCCCCCAGACCCAACTCTTGTTAACAAGTTAGCGCATACCTGTGTGCACTCGCCTTCCGATGTGGACCCGCGCACCTGCTTGAGGGAAGGGGCTCAGAAGGAGTGGGCAGCAGGGCCGGTGGGTTTTCTGGGGTACAGCATAAGGAAACGGAAGCCTGAGTAAAGGCTAGAAGTCGCTGTGGGAGAAACTCCACAGGTTTAAAGTCAAAGGTGAACAGAATGCCAAGCTTGGTGGATAACATCTCAGGCTCCTAGAAACGACTCTCTAAGGGGATGAAATGCCTAGCTTTTAGTAGCTGGCTTCTCAGTGTAACATTGTTTTGAAAAGCTGACATGGTCAGGTGCAGGCACGTGCCTGAAATCCAAGCTACTCAGGAGGCTTAGGCAGGAGGATGGCAAACCTGGGCAACTTAGTAAGGGCTGGGGATGCATCTCCGTGGTAGACCGCTCCTGTGTTTAATGCCCAGTTCCCCAACAAAAACAATAACAGTGTTGTTGTAACAATTCTGGATTCTACCACCCTCACTGAATTGGAGAAGATGATTTTAAGCTACATAAGCAACAGTGGGATTTATGGAATTTATCATAGGGAATGATTATAATTTTCCTAGTAACAACTTCACAGATGAGAATGGCAGCCAATTAGTAGTGTTCCGAGACTAAAGTTTGAATATTTTAATACAGACGGATTTTACCTGGAACCCTGTGACCTATCTCCCAGAACAGGACATTGGGACAGTCTTCTTTGCTCTGTTTTCCCCAAATGAATGCCTGAAGACGCCTGTATTTGGCCCGGGGAGCATTCTCCCAATCTCAAGGCAGACAGTCACTTGCTAGCCATCAGCTTCCGAAAACCACAGGACTGGGTGGGCAGGGGGGCTTTAGAGCTGAACCACCTGGCCTGTGTCTCAGCTCTGCTGGTCACTGTGGGATCTTGAACAAGTTACTTAGCTAGGGTCTCAAGGGGTCGCAGTAAAAGGCACCATCGATAATGACATGCCCCATAAAGCAGAGGACCCGAGGGTGAGCCCAGTGTCCAGGAAGTCCCATAAAAATCACACCAACACCCACCTTACTGCATTATCAGTCCCCTAGCAGGCACCCCCACTCAAGACACCCAGCCTCCTCCACAGCAAGAAGGAAGCGGGTTAAAAGGCTGAGAACTGGGGTGAGCCAGCCAGAGAGACTGGGGACAACAGAAGGAAGAGAATAAAGTATCCTCCACAAAAACTGGGGAGGGTCAAGGAGGTGGACGATGCTAGGACACTGCCAGGAAGTAAGAAGCAGATCACTACAGCAGAACAGGGACAAGTGCACAGAGATGTCAGAGCCACTGGGCAGCAGCACAGTAACACACTTCTGGATGGAGGATGCCCCTTTGTGCTGGGGGTCAGCCCAGGCTACGGCACGGTGGCCGACCTCTGTGCCGTGCCTAGTTCTAGGGGAAATGTGAGAGTCTCTGCGGATGCTTGCTACATCTCCTGGTGATGGTATTTAGGTCCCAGGGGCCCAGGAATAAAGTGTAGTGGATCCACATTTGCCTCCATTAATCTTGATACAAATTAATGACCTCTCCTTCAACCCCGCTCTTACGAAAATTGGATGGGGGTGGTTGGGTCACTGGAACCTGCAAACCTGGAGTGGGGAAAGCCTGCTAGGAAGCCAGGGTAGGGGGTATGGACTGGAAATGTGGAGGTCTACAGAGTTTTCACCCCAATACTCACAGCTCGAAAGGTGGCTTGGAGAGTAATGTAATGCTGAGAGCCATAGCCAAGTAGGAATGACGCATGGCAATTTCCTTGTCGGCCTACCCCATGTTGCTTAGAGGGAGGACTCTTCATTGTGGAAATGAGCTTGCCTTGGACCCAGGTCATTTGCAGTGACATTGCATGAATGTTTGAGAGTTTTGGTTTGAAAGGTGACCCTGCTCAGGGATTAGGGCCGCTCCAGGTTTAGGGTGGATCCTGCTGGATTAGAGTGGCCCTGGGTTTAGGGTGGATCCTGCTGGGAATGGGGCGTATCCTGCTGCCTCAGGCACCCGCTCCTTGAGTTCCCGTTGAGTTCTCGCGGGATTCAGAGGGTATTTGGTACGCAGAGCCCAGTGGAGGGTGTGTATTTTCCCAGAACATGTGTGTAGAGTGCAGGTGAGAGTTCGGGAATAAAGAGTTGCTGTTGGAATCTACAAGGCGTTGTGGTGGCTCGGTTATTTTGTGCCCAGACAGACTGCGGCAATGTAAAATCCTCCACCCTGAGGAAGACACAACTAAACCCACCTAAGGGTATGAAAAAGACAAGAAGCCCAGGTTTCTACCCTCCGGCCGGTTGGCAGAAGAAACCCCAGGGCACCTTTGACAACCTGAGGGGCACAAGGGGCCCCTGTCCATCTGGACTATGGCACCAGAAAAAGTGTTTATATAAAGAGTTGTGAGGTCCATGGTGCAGAGGCCGGCTTTCTCCTTCCTTGGTAAGGGCAGTCAGTGGACGGCCACTTCTAACAAGCCGACTGGATTTCTGGCCCCTTCCTAACCGCCAGCTACTCACTGACCTGTAAAAAACACAGATTTGACCTACTGCACTAATTAAGTCCAGGGTCTCTGTTGAGAGGGCACATTAGGTTTGGGAGAGTCTAACTGTCTACTGTGCTTGTGACTCTTCCTTGCCATATGCTCTCAGTGGACGTTACGCATCTGAATTTTCAAAAGCGGTTCTCAGATGCACAAGATCATATGCAGGAACTTCACTGTACAGGGAGGATTCCGGAGAAAAGGACCAAAGGTAATAGCATGGTCTGAATTTGGGGAACATCAGAATCACAGCTTACTGGCGGAAACCAGAGGACGGAGCCAACTTGGGGCCATGCATGAACTTGGTTTACTTGGTCTCCTTGGTAACCGCCTGTCGCTGGGAGCAATAGCTTTGCCTTCCGCTGTGGCTTGGTGCTATGCGCAGGGCTGGAGACAGATCTTTACAGGAAGACAGCACAAAGCAGAAGGCGGACAGCCAGGGAGAGTGGCTCTCAGCCTCCCCACTAGGTCAGGAAGCCAACCAAGATCACTTTTCTAGATCACAGCCCTAACATCTGCTTTCCACAAACATGAATCACCGGCCACATTGATGACTACAGAATAAACATCTCTAAATGACTTGTACACACAATGGATTGACATTTATGTTACTTTGTTTGGATTCTTTTCATGATAATTATCTAAAAATGTTTCACATTATAAATGTGGTTCACGAAATAGTTGCTCAGGATTTGCACAACACCTGTCAGCTTACCAAGTACTGTGTACCCATGCGGAGGCTCACAAGAGTATCAATTTGTCCATGGGCCTTTTGGAAGAGTGAAACCAGGTTTTTGACCCAGGTTGCACTGAAAGCCCTTGAGCAGGCACAGTCATGGAAGGCACCTGCCTGCTGCCTGACACAGGTGCTCCCAGACACCCAGGGTCCTCAGGGGGAGCAGGCATCATCAGGTGGGCTCAGGAAATGCCCTTGGCTCTCCCTGGGCCTAGCCCAGCAATCCCACCTCCGACCCAGGGCCATTGGCAAGATAGTGCACACACCCAGGTCGGGGCCAGGAGCCAGATCTCCCAGGGATACTGGTGGGAGCGGGTAGTGGCATTGGTAGGGGAATCAAATGGGGGAGTCAGCCCCTACATGCTATCTGTAAAGAAAGTGGCATCCCACAGTCAGCTCAGGCCCAGAGCGAGCCTGACGCGCAGGCCAGCATCCTGACTGCCTGATCCTGTGGATAGGAACACAGGAAGCCAGAGAGCTGGAGGCAATGGTGAGCGGCTCTCCAGCAGCCACTGGGTTGGGCTTCACACAGTGGTGTCTCCTCTCGGCTGCCCTGACCCAGGGGCTAACAACCTCCTTCCCTGTCCCCACTGGCCTGTGACGGGCTCTTCTGGAAGGGGACTCTTCAGGAAT